GTAAGAAGAAGCCTTATCTCTCAAATCTACCCATTTATGTGCCTAATTTACCGTGGGGGGCCTCAAATTGCAATAGTGCAGCCGTGTACTAGCCATTGCCTATTAATGAAGCCTAGGTAGTTTACTTCTTTTTTTTCTTTTATTGCATGTAATTTATTGAGATTAATTGCAAGAAGTCAGCTCTTTATTTGAATCTTCAATTGTAAAATAAAATAAAATAATCTCTTTTATTAAGTTATTTAATTCACTTCCTTTCAGATCTCATGCAAGTCAAACTTAATAAGAATTAAAGCAAGAATTTGATATGTCCTTAAAAAGAAAAAAAAAAAGTGTAGAAGTTGATATAAGTCGGCTGAGAAGCAGGTGGGCTAGAAGAAACGGCTTTAGATAGAAAATACTATTAAGCGGGAAACATGATATGTAACGGCCGCTCAAGCGTTGAAAGAACAGTACGCACGAGGTGCCACCTTGGTAGGTAGGTGGCTAAAAGCCTAAAACTAAAAGTAATCCCCACGCCTAAGCCCTCCCCCCTCCCACGGAACGCCAACTTTGACCTCTCCCATCAATAATTCCTGGGTTCAGTGTTTGGTTCTAATTTGGACTCTCAAATTTAAATTCTAAAAATATTAATGAAGGGCATTTCTTAACAGGCAAAACTCTAGATGAAGTACTAAATTTAACTTAAATTTTTAATTAACTTCGTATGTTTTTATTAAAGTAAATAAAATTTTAAAATAGTTATTTAAGTAATTGAACTTTTTTTTCTTACAACAAACTTAATACTTATTTGTGCTTTACTTAGATGAATAGAATTAATATTCATTACATAAATAACTATATATCAATATCTTATTCACACAAATAAAGTATAAATGAGTATCAAATCCATTCTAAAGAAAGATAATTAAATTGCTCATATTATCAAGTTAAGAGACTTATTTGCTTCAACAAAAATTCAAAGTTCAATCAAGAATTTGAGATAAATTTAAGGGTTTAACATAAGATTTGGAGTAAGTTTAGAGGCTTAATAATAGGATTTTACCTCTTTTTAGTGAGGCCGATCATTGATTTAATAATTAATATTTTACCACTAATATAATATAATATAAATTTTAAAATTTTAAAATTTTCTTTATAAGTAATTAATATTTATGTTTGTTAATTTTCAGTCTTGATTGCACTAGAGTCGAAGCTACATATCATTAAATTAGGAGAATCCATTCTATTACTATCAAATAATTTATATTGTGTAATTTAATACAATTCATATTTACACAATAGTTTTGTAATAAACATTTTTTTCTCAAGAATTAGTAATAATACTTTGTTATTCAAAGCCGGCCATATTTATTTATTTATTTCCTTCCTTTTATTCTTAGTATACTTGGGCAAAAAGTACCCATTTGCACTTCAACTTTTTAAATTTGAGGCATTTTACCCCTCATATTACAATATATAATTTTTTATTTTTCATGCTTTCGAGTTTAAGGGAATAAGACAAAATTTAACATTGGAAGATCATGTGTGATACGTGCATCGTTAATCTTCATTATACCTTGATGTGTCAATACCAACTTAGACTTTTTTACATGTTGGCAAGTCCAGCTTGGACTTTATGATAATAACATAAAAAAATAAAAATAAAAAAAATTTTTTTTTCCTTCTCCTTTCCTTTCCCTCTCCCTTGGAACCCAACAGAATTCATCAGCAAAGAGAAGCCCTCCATGGAACCTAGGCATGGGTTCCATGGAACCCAAGCCTAGGATCGGTGGAACCCCCAGCGCTAGGTTTCATGGAATCCAGGCCTGGGTTTGATGGAACCTAGGGTTCCATCAAACCCAGATGGAACCCTAGGTTCCATCAAATCCAGATGGAACCCAGCGCTTGGGTTCCCTAGAACCACCAGCGTTGGGTTCCATCGAACGCGCGCTTGAGTTCGTTGGAACCCAGGCGCGGGTTCTATGTAACCCAATGACAAAAGATTTAAAAAAAAATTTCCTTTTGTTTTTTTTTTTTTTATCTGTGGGTTTTGTTTTTTTGATGATGATGAAAAACCCAATAAGGGTAGAGATTGATTGAGGTGAATAGATTGGTGGAGTTAGAGATTTGCAAAAGTTGAGGGTTCCCATCGACTCACGCCTAGGTTCCTCGGAACCCAGCATGCCTTGGTTCGTTGGAACTCAAGTGCGGATTCTATGGAACCCAATGACAAAAAAATTTTTTTAAAAAATTCTTTTTTTTTTTTTTTTGTTTTTGTTTTCTGTGGGTTTTGTTGTTTGATGATGATGAAAAACTCATAATGTAGAGATTGATTGAGGTGAACAGATTGGTTGAGATGTTAAAGATTTGCAAAAGTTAAGGGTTTTATCGAACCCATGGTTGATTGGGTAAATAGATTGGTTGAGATGTTAGAGATTTGCAGAAGTTGAAGAAAGGGTTGAAGAAGGGAAGAGGAAACTGAGGAACGAAAAAAAAAAAAAAACTAAATTGTTGGGGTAGAATTTCAGCTCACAAATGGTGCAAGCTGAACTTGCCAACATGTAAAAAAATCTAAGTTGACATGAACACGTCAATAGATGACGGAGATTAACGATGCATGTGCCACATGTGACCCTTCTGGCGTTAAATTTTGCTTTATTTCCCTAAACTCGTAAACATGAAGAATAAAAAATCATATTTTCGAAAACATAAAGGATAAAAAATCATATATTATAATTTAAAGGGTAAAATGTCTCAAATTTGAAATGTTTAAGGGCAAATGGGTACCTTTGGCCAGTATACTTGGGGGAAAGCAAAAGAGAAAACCTTTAAAAGGCCTAACATTTAGGAATTTGGACTGGTTTCTACTTTCTAGCTTTTTGGGCTGAGATAGGCTTCAAGAATCAATATTGGGTCTATGATATGGGCTTCACTTTCTCTCTTCTTCCCCACTGAAATCCCGTTAAAGAAACTGAGAAAAGGAAGGGGAGCAAGTAGAAAGCCTGATGAACAAGAAAGAAATTGTCGAAAACGACCACCAAGAAAGACGTAACTTGAACAAGCTCCTCAACAATTTTCTGAAATGGGCAGTTCAGAACAACGATTCCCTATTCCCTGTTCCCTGCAAGAATCTCACGTTGGATATCAAGGTAAGCGAATCCTCATTTGTACCCTTTACTTGGGTTTCTTTGTTTCTCCATGGATACTGCTTGAAGATGCATGAACTTCCCGGCTTAAAATGGAAATTAGTTCTTCTTCTAGCTCTCTCAGCATGCGAAAACAAGAGAAAGTAGAGATATAAAAGTGAAGGACTTTATTTTTGACTCAATTCAGTTAGAAAACCTAACGAGCTTTTTCCTTTTTGTCAAGATGATTTTGGTGCTTGAGATATTGGGTTAACTAAAGGTGCCTAATCTAGGAATCTGAGATGTAGCACAGTTTGAAAAAGAGCATTTTTTTCTTTTTTCTTTTTTATTCATTTTCTTTTATTTACTCTTTTCATTGCTAGCACCCATGCAGTAATTGGGTACTAGCTCATGTAGAGTAAGCGCTAAATGGTTATTGTTTTGCATGAGTAAGTTCATTTGAACAGAAAAACTGGATTTTTTTAATGTATCCCAATAAACAGGGAGACCGAGAAAACTTGTGATATACATAATGGACTACGGTAGCCTGTCAAATTACATGTTACACATGATGTGAGACTGACTCAAGGAATGGCATCTCAAAATTTGGATATCCTTACTTAAAACACACGTCTAAAAATATGGTACACTAGAATAAAAATCTAAAAACATCCCTATATCTCAGCTCACAGCATATGTGTAACTTTATGAAGATCACTGGAGAAAGAAAGAAATAGAGATAAGGCAGCATATATCGAACGTACTTTGTTTGTTTCATTGTTTCACCTTTACTCTTTGTTGGGCAAAACATTTAAATGTTTTTCTAACTGCAAAGAAACAACAACTCAGTTAATCACTATCAAGAATGCTAGGACTTGAACAGATTCAAGTTTCCATAAGAACTTAAATAGAGAACGCATTAACGTTAGAATATGCATAACACAAATATGCAGACCAACTTAAATCAAAGCCAGTATTCAGGCAATTGGAAAAAGGTCTTTAAAAATATACTTAGGAAACAAGGCAGAACAGATTCGATTCTTATGAACAATCATGGAGGTAGTTACATGGAAATCATGGTTGTGGACTCACAGCATAAGAGCCAGATAACCTGGCACTTACCCAAGAAAGAATGATGTGTAATTGCATTGATTCTGTTTCAATAAAAAAAAAAAAAAGCTCTGTTTTATTGTTTAAACAGTGGTAGACAGGCCCAATTTCAGCAGTGGCTTCAAATATAATCCTCTTATTCTTTCTAGCATAAACCATATGATGGGGGCAAATTATATCACTGAGGAGCCTCCTCCCACACTTAATCAAAGTATACTTCTACATGGTTAGTTCATGGGTCATGACATCATCATGTATGATCATCAACTTGTAAATTCTTCTATGAGTAATTCTCTAATTCAGGGGGCCAAAACTGTTCCACAATGAATGCGTGATGTATGTGTTTTCTGAAAGAATGCTGTGTGTGTTTGTTTTTGTGCCAGAGATAGATGCACAAACCTGGGCATTTTTCATCTTCAGTTTCTGCAATTCATCCACAAGGCCTCCAATACTGACATCAGAATAGAGTTTCAGTAACACTGGATAAATAAAGCAAATCACAAGCACTTGGGCTTCATTTTGTACCTCTGTTGCAGCTGAACCATCTGAGATTGTAGCTCTCTTTCCCTAGCAGAAGTGGGAGGCAACTGCATGTTTGACAAAATGGAGATCAATTAACTCCTACACTAACTAGCCAATTTGATGTGTTAAACTTGAGTTTGGATCAACCAGATACGTGGTCTGGGATGCCACCTATGACTCTCATTAGCACAAGGCAAGACGATCAAGGAGGCATCCACCCACCATCTACTAATGGCTGCTGAAGTATAACAACAGATTATTTCTGGTTAAAGACCAGAATCAATTACTTAAGACATAACACTTACAAATGGTTAGAGGGAAAAGTAAAATGGGTAACATTTATTATTTACCTGCAAGAGCTCATTGTTGCTCATCTCAGCCGCCTCCACAAACTTCCCTGTAAATCAAGAGAAGTAACAATAATACTTGCTCACAAGTCACAAAATGAAAATGATATGTGATAAAAATGTCAAGGCACTACCAGAAGTTTGCTCCACACATTTGATCAGTTGGATAATTTCTTCCTGTCAACAATTATTGAGAGAAAAAGAAAAGTTTTCAGATAAACCATCTCCAGGACATGTTGTAGGAGATATAACATGAAGCATACCCTTTGCACAGTGTTCCGCTGCAAAATGCATTGCAGAGATGGGAGAATGGCAGCTGCTGTAAGGTTAGGGGATGTTGGAATGGCTGAACCTCCGCTTCCTGGGTTAAAGATGCAGTTTGACGGTCCCTGAATGAGAGAAAACAATGGCAATGGTCACAATGCCATTGCCTTAAAGATAAATAGCTAAGTTGCATCCTTATTCTTATCATTAGTATACACTGTACAAAATATTTGAATAATACAATCCATAGGCTTAATGTAAGATAAAAATTAAAAATTAAGTGCACAAGATTTCTGCATAATAGGCTCCCAAGCATTGCATGTCTTTAAAATATAACATAAGATTACATCACAGCTTCATACCAAAAGCTGAGTTATGTTGAGCAGAGATTACAGGCTAATTTACAGCATCTATAGCAGATTTACCTTGGGACTGAGATCTGCTGATGTGACTTTAAAGCGTCCTTTACGTTGGACAACTGCCCCATCTGATGTATCATCCCCTGCCATAGTAGAATGCAACAAAACCAAAATGAATTTGTTAAGAATGAAAAGAAAAATATTAATTCCAATTAAAAATGAGAAGGTAAAAAAATAGATACCAGGTGACAGGTTATTTGTCTCTCTCCTCTGGCGAAATGACGTTGGACCACTATAGTTACGTTCAGATTGATATTTAGATGGCAGAACATCCCTTCAAAAAATTCAGTACACACAAGCTAATAAAGAATTATAGATTGTGGTAACAAAACTTTTTCAGCAAGTACACAGCAATTATAAAGTCAGTTATGCTATTTAAGGTAAAAGATACTATAAAACGCACTCCACAGTAGCAAGCAAACTTGAATGGAAAATGAGATGACGAAGTAATGAACAAACAATATGCATACTTGTGCAGACCCATTAATTTGTCCAAAGGGGTCTCCATAAACCATTTTTTTAAGGAAACTAAACGGGGTTAATTAAGTTAATGATGAGAAAATTTAGGGATGCTGGAATGAATCAAACTTGCCAAGGACATGTTGAAGGGACATATTTCTCAGAAAAAGAACAAGGGAAACAAGTGCAATACCCACACCCACTGAAATATGTAGGACCATGGAAGAAATAACATTAGGGTATCTCCTTCCTAGCCAGTACAGTGGAAAGAAATTACCAGATCAAGAAGAAAGTTCTACTTGAGTAACATGATATACCTAAGACTAAGAGTTCCTTTTAACTTGCAAAGAAATCCAAAATCATCAAATTTAGATCTCTTTTAGCAATGGACAGCAATGATTCTGTTTGTGAACGAGCTGTCTAAACTAGTCATAACAGAACTTGTTTTACATGAGTAACTTAAAACTAAGCTTACCTATCCCCATCACCAGTCCCCTTTTTAGACGAAAATACACTCTCTGGTATTAGTGAACCACTCAAGAACCTTTTTTGCTCTGGAATAATCTGGTGTGGGATTGAGCTGGTTTGCCTGGAATTCTCACTTTCGTATTTTCCAGTATCTTGGTTCATTGATCCTGATGGTTTTGAAACAAACTGCTGTCTAGAATCTGAATGGGCACCTTTACAATTTGGACTAGCTGCACCCTCATCATCTTCACCAATGTCAAAACTACTGCATTGAATGCATATATGCACAAATAAAAAATTAAAATCACCAGAGAGAATGTGATTGCTAAAGTTTTCTTGTTAAAACAAAATACCAAGAATATACCAGTTAAAAACAAATACTTTGCAATAGTTCCGCACAGAGTATTGCCTTTTAACTTAATAGTCACAATTGACATTTGACAAGAGATTTCAAGGCTATCATTCATGAAAAATAAATGTTCACTACCTTAGAGCCTATTTATCTGATAGGATGAAATGGTTAGCAATAACAATATCTTGCAAGTATACAAGATAGCCATACCTGAGACCCTGAAGAGGTTTAATGGGGAATGTAGCTAGCGAACTCTCCAAATCCTGAAGATCACTAAGCTCGTCCTGCAACAAGCAAAATATAAATATGAATCTAAAAATATAAGTCACAGAAAGTCCCAAGAAGTTCTGAGAAACAACATTGCAACATTACACAGAGATCTTCTTAGTGTGGGAAGAGATACCTCCTGACTAGGTGTACCAATGGAATTATTAGACATCAGGGACCTCTCTGCAGGTAATCTAACTTCATCATACTGGTCACTTTGCTTCCGACTCATGTCTTGATCCTCTGCACTTGTCACACCATTGTCATCCTGAATCTGCAGATAACCAGTGTTTGGACCAGTGAAATCATCCCCATGTCTACAGAAAACCATGGAATAACTGGCAAATGGGAATCATAATACTTACAAGGGCAGCCTGACTTTTCAAATCCTCTAGGTTAAAATTCCAGGCACTGATTCCTCTTATATACTCTTGCTGAAAGAAAAAAAGAGATCACATTAAGAAGTTATACCTAGCCAGACTAAAGAGCCTAAAACACTAACAAAATAAGGGAACATCTTTGCTGTGTGAGTTGCACCTTTTAATAATCTTAAAAAGCTTCATCGGTTACCTGTGATAAATGTTCCCTGTCCTCATAATGAGCCTTATTCTGGACTAGGAGATCAGCCTCTTTTGTCTGAAACATAAAAGAAAGATCACAGTTGCAGCAGAACAAATGGCATATCTTAACCAGAGTTCACAAGGCCAAATAACAACGTTTAGGATAAGCAAAACACCTTCAGCATCCTAAAGCGTTCACCTAATGGAACAAGGCTTCCAAGAATTGTATGAGCTAGATAGTCAGCTGAGCGCGCATGCTTAAAGAAATGGTGCTTCAAAAGCTTTTCTGAAGTTGGACGTTTCTTTGGATCCTTTACCAAGCAAGTTGCTACCAATTCCTTGAAAGACTGTACACGTCGATATCATCAAAAATTCGGAATCATACCAAGTTACAAACAACTGCTACCAGTCAAAGTTCCTAGCCAGTAACACAAACCTTCGAGAATTTCTTATCTCTCTCATAGTCAAGACCAGGAGGTGCATTTTGCAAGGTCATTAATAATACCTGTCACGAAAATAGAGAGAAAAAGATCAAATTGTGAGCGCAACAACACCAGCACCAAGCATGTAATTGTACAACCAGAAATTGAAAGATTCACCTTCATTGGTGGATACTTGGAAAAAGGGGCATGGCCATGAGCAAGTTCAAGTGCTGTTATTCCAAATGACCAGATATCTGCTCTGTTTATATAAAAAGGAGCAAGCAGCAATGAAACAAATCATCAAAACAGAAGTAACAAAAGAAAATGAAAGGAAAACTGTAGCTTATCTAAAGCAACCACTCACTTAAAGTCATAACCATGCAATTGCTGCATAACTTCAGGAGCCATCCTGGAAAAAAAATGTTGGAGAAAATAGAACTGAAATTGTCATCAACTTTCAAGGACTGAATTTCTTAATTGTCATCAACTTTCAAGGATTGAATTTCTTTAAGTAAAGCAACAATGCAAATGTCATCCCAACAAGTGGAAAGGCCAACAGCAAAATACCAGCAAGGAGTTCCAACAAAAGTATTTCTAGAACGTTGCCTGTCTCCAGTATCAAACATGCATGCAGACACCCCAAAGTCTGCCAATTTGACAGCACCATTAGAATCAATTAAAATATTCCCAGCCTGCAAAGGGGTCAAGTGTCAATAAGAATAACACAGAAATATTTTCGATATAAAAACAAACAGGACAATGGGAGAACAACATAGCAGCAAACAATTTATATGTGAGAAGGATCTTTCTCCTGCATGCTAAAGAGGAAAGACATGACAAGAATAAGCCATAAATAAACTTATACAAAGCAACGACTAAGACAAGGACAATCAAAGATTCCATGTCAATATGAAACAAGCATAGGGTTCCATCTTATAGAATGCAGAACTTTTTTTTTCCCAGCATTTAATACATTACACTAGAGTAATTGGTGCTTCATACTCATTATAGAATGCAACATTAATAAGCCATCATTTTAACTCCTATAGTTATTAATCATTTGGCTTGTCCTTCAAGAACAAAAAGGTTTATAGAATAAACACAGAAAGCTCTAGAGTCTGGTGAATAAAATACCTTAACATCTCTATGGATGTGTCCCTGGGCATGGAGATAAACAAGAGCCTTTAGAACCTCACGCAATAAAGTAGCAATGACAGGCTCATCAAAACCATCCTGATGGGCAGATTTCATTATATGTAGGCAAGATCCACCAGCCATGTATGGCATCACAACCCAAAGGCTGTGACCAGCAGGGAAAGAGCAATGTGCCCGCAATACATTAGGATGATCGATCAAGGTCATAGTTTGTACCTCTCTGCGAATACCATCCTGCACTTACATAAAGAAATCATTCAATGTGACAGCAATGGCATATATGGTACTAAATTCTTGCTGAGGAGAGTAGTTGAGACTTTAGAGTTGTGAAAAAAGGGCCATAAACATGACAATACCAGTGTCTAGTTGCATGGGAATATATCATATAGAAAGAAAACTACTGTTAGAGAGATCAACTTGAGTATGCAAGGGCAATTTATGTTAATTGATTGTTTCTTTCCTGCAAGTCAACAAATTCGTCTATGCACCAAATTTCAGCAAGGGAAAGGAGAACAGCAAAGCTCCTTTTTGCTCTCAGAAAGTACAGAAGAGGGGGGGGGGGGACAAAAAGCCCACCCGAAAATCTTCCAGTTCATTAAAGTTCTGAAATCCCTCCCTAACATCTTTAAACACCACCTCAATGCCTCAAACTCCAGGAGCAGAAGATGGTGCATGAAAAATGGGAGTCATGTGCACAAAATTTAAATTTTCTACCCTCATATGCCTTGTGAAGCAAATAATTACAATTGTCAGGACTAAAGATAACAAAGAATACATGTGTAGCAAATGAAAACTAGAGAAAGTATTGCTACAACCAACAGCAATTTTGCATATGTCTAGAGTATGAATGAACATGATTTCCACTTTACAATTATGAAATAACACACTTACAAAATCATTATTGCACTTTTCCAGATCAAGAACCTTTATTGCAACTATCTCATTAACTGGAACACATAAAGCCCTGTACACTGTTGCACTGACGCCTTCACCAACTTCTTCATATAACTTATAATCCTTCGCATTGACAGGATATCGTTTCTCTGAAAGATGATCCATGGCTTGCCGTTATAACATACTATTACCACCCTCCTTACCCGTAGATGATCCAATGAACATGAATAAAACGTCTACAAAAGATATGTATGTCAATTTGATGTGGGGCTTCTTCCAATTTGGTAGCATTTTCCTTAGCACAAAAAAGCATATAATTCTGCCGACTTCATCAAAGTGATATATCTAACACATACTTTTCCTTGCATGCAGAATTACTGAAACCCAAAGACCCAAATAATACAGAAACATTTAAATTTCTACAAGTAGGTATTATGTGTCTCCTTTATTTAAGTATCCTCGCATGAACTATTTGAATAAGCAGCAGTGCATCCGGTAACCACCCAAGCATCACAGGAGAAGATGTTAAACTCCAGATAATAAGCATAAGCAAAACAAATTTCCACTATCTTGCACAAATCTACATGCCAGCGTCACACAGCTTCAAATTAACAAATGCACTCCAAAGCTAACCAAATTCTGCATAAAGAAATGAAGAATGTGCAGCAGATAGCCACACTTCTAAAAGACTGAAAAGTTTGTAGGGGTGGTTTTAACCTGCAAAAACCCAAAAATGAGAATCAGATCAATCACCATATTCTAAAATATTGTCTTAACCTAATCAAGTATAATGAGGAAAAACATTTACAATAAGAATTCCAAGAAAAGAACAGAATGCGGTAGAACATCAAGCCATACAGAACAAAAACAAACGATTTGATGCCACTTTCAAATTTCATTTCTCCAGCTTGTTTCCAGCTCTTAACAAACCCAATTCTCCATATGCATTTCAGCTAGCATTCTCATTATTTCATTTCCAATAAGCAGTAGAGACTTCTTTTCAGTTGTGGTTTTTATTTCAAAATTTAACACCACCACCAATGAATTCAACCTTCACAAGCAACAAATCTATAACATCATTAAATCACATAGCATTCCAACAATTAATCAAATTGTCCACATTTAATCTACCAAAACACCAACACCATAAATCCAAAAACTCATCCATTAATCAACTAAAGTCAAATTTCAGATCCTCAGCCTCACCAAACCAATCAAAAGCCAACAACCAACAAAATCCATAACTTAATAAGCTAATTCCAAAAAAAAAAAATTTCCAATAAGGTACATCCATGGATCAACACCGACCTAGGGTTTTCGCTGCTGCTCTGAAGAAGCGCAACACTTACAGCGGAACTGAATCTGAACCTGCTAGACCTGCTAAAAACACGTAACAAAAACCAAAACCGAATCCCCCGCACACCTTCAAAACGCCGGATGAACCGCAATTCCGCTACTCCCCCTTTCTTCTTCCCCGGCACAGACGATGGCGATGACAAATTATTTGGCTGATAAATAAATAAATAAATCAATCAAATAAACAAACTCCTGCTCAGATCGAATCTCCCACCATTTACAGTGAAAATAAACAGAAATTTTCTTCTTTTTTAGGACCAAATTTCGGTTTCGGAAGCAGAGAACAGTGAAAATTAATAGTGAAATGAATCCAAAATAAATAAATATAGACGAAACTGGGGGCAGAAAAAAAATTCAGACCAGAGAGAAGCGAACTGGCAGGTTTGATGCAAAAAATTGGACTCAGCTTGGGACCCGCCGCCAAGAGTTTTTATTTTTT